GCGTGACCGCCGGCCTAGGCAAGGGAAAAGAGGGGGGCGCGCGCTAGGTGACAGAAATGCGAAGGGGGGAGAGGGGGGGGGGGAGGTGTCCGTCTAATGGCGATTAAAAGAAGGCCCGCGGACGGGCCTTACGAAGCGCGAATGGCGGGGCCCGCGGAGGGGGCGCACGACGGGACGACGAAAAAGGGCATGCGGGGGCTTTTATGGGACGACGGAACGGGGCCCGCGCGGGCCTCTACGTGTCGACGGAACGGGGGCCGCGAGAGGGCATGCGATGTGACGGGGTGACGGAGCTACGGGGTGACAGGGCGACGGGGCGCGACCTGGGAGACGAGGTGACGGGGGCGACCTAGGAGACATGGTGATGGGGTGACAGGGTGACGGGGCGACGGGGTGACGGGGCAGCCTAGGCAACGGGGTGCAGTAGCGGGCGACGGGCGGCGAAGTAGCGGCGAACAGGCGGCAAACGGACGCCGAACGGACAGCGCACGTGCGGCTAATGGGTGAAACCCTACGAGCCAATGGGCGGCGAGGGCGCTCCGGGCGGCTAACCGGTGACAATCTGACGAAACCCTAAAACGAGAGAGGAACGGATGGGACTAGGGCGGGGCGCGGGGCGGTGGGCCCATAGGAACGAACTAAGCTCTATACCATGTGAAAGTAAGAATGGAAGAATGGATGACCAAAGAATGAGCCAGCAGCAAAGATATGGGAAACCTAACTTTAGGACTAATATAAATGTACACCACCTAGACCAAACAATACAAACTATAAAAAAAAAAATAGATTGACATAAGTTACGAGCAAGCCCTTCTCATATTCACTCTTCCGGACGGTTCATCATCACTAGTCCTTGCTCCGCCCGGTGTCCGCCCTTGTGTTGCTTCCACCGTTGTTCCTCCTGCAACCGCGCCGATGTCCACTACTGCATCGTCTTCTAGAACCAGCATAGTGCCTCCTTCCAGTAAGGATCAGTTCCCACATGCCGCCGAATCACCATCGGCAGGTCCATCGAGTGGGCAGCTGGGGTCAAGTGAGGCCGCTGAGGAGTTTTCAGAAGAATCGATATGCTTTTCCTCGAGGCGTCACGCCAATACAATGGTGAATGGCAATAACGGTTTCTATGGCTCTTGCTATGTCGAACTAAAAAGGGCCTCCCATTTCTTAAGTGCAGTGTATGTACATATTATGGTGTCCAGGGGACGAAATACGGGTGTGAGCGCAAAGGTGCCATTAACGTGCAGGCGTAGACAATCAAGAAACACGCTCGCACCAACAAGCACAAGGAGGCAAACTACAAAGGCAGCAGAAAGCGCTTGGGGAGGCGAAGAAACAGAAACGCATTTGCGACTTCTCACAAGTGATCGGCGTGGAGACGATGCGTGTCATCTCTAAACTCTGGGCCTTGCACTTAATCTGCAAATGCAACGCGCCAATCGAGACTTGTTTGACAGTTGTCTGACGATTTGATCTTAAGATGCAGGTATGCGCCACGGCTCAATGGATGCATGCGACCCAGATGGAGCACATCAAGTCAAGCCCCTACTTCGGCCTCACCTATGATGAAAGCACAGACAGAATGTGGGGCATAATTTGATCATGTTCATCATGTTTATGCGGAACAATGAAGTCGTGACTGAGTTTCTTACCTTAATGACGATGACGAAGTGTGACGGAGCCTCTCTGTTTACAGCAGTCAAAGCACACCTGGCATCAGTTGACACTGTCAGAATGTCATTGTTCTCTAGCCTGCAGTGGGGTACTCTATAGCGAGTACAACCCCTTAGGGTTTCCTATATGTATCCTGCTGCTTTCTAGTGAACCCTCTTCTTCTTCATTCTAAACTTCTCTACCTTCTAATATTTTCATGCTATCAGAGCAGGTCGATCCCCTTGGGTCGATCCTGTGGGTGGGCTCACCACCTCACTGCTTCCGCTGCTACTGCCACTCTCTGTGTCGCACGCCCCGTGGCGTGCGACGGATTTTTCATCCCGCCGCGCGCTCGGAGCGTGCGGCGGTTTTCTGCCCGCCGTGCGCCCCGAGGCGCGCGGCGGTTTTCTGCCCGCCGTGCGCCCCGAGGCGCGCGGCGGTTGTCTGCCCGCCGTGCGCCCCGAGGCGCGCGGCGGGTTTCTGCCCCGTCACTCCGCGCGTCGCTCCCGGGAGGCGCTGCGACGGGCGACGGGGACCCGCGCGTCGCCCCCCGTCGCCCGTCGTGGCCTGTGCGCGGCTCGAACAGCCTGCGCGCGGCCCGTACGGGCTGCGCCAGGCCCGCGCGCGGCCCGTACGGGCTGCGCCAGGCCCGCGCGCGGCTCGGGCCGCCTGCGCGCGGTTCGGGCGGCTGTGCCAGGCCCGTGGGCGGCCCGTTCTTCGCTGCCCCTGCGCTGCCCGCTGTCCCCCGTGCTTCTGATGGCGCCCCACCCCTGCTGCTGCCCGTTCTCCTGAATTAGGGTTTGGGGGTGGGGGGTATGGGGGTGCAGCTTCTGTGTGCCGTCCCCTGCTCCTCCTCCTCCTCCGTCTCCCAGTGCTGCAGCTGCCGCTGAGGGGGGTGGACCTGTTGGAGCCGTCGGAGTGGTACTAAGGGGGGTGAAGGGGGAGTGGAGCTAGGGGTGAAGCAGGGGGTGTGTGTCAGGGGGAGTGGGACTGTTTGGGGAGGTTGAACTGAGGTTGCCGTCGTGTCGCCAGCAGCACCTGTAGTCCGGGGAGTTGCTCCGGTAGCCCAGTCGCAGCCAGCTGTGCCAGTCGCCCGTGGGTCCGTTGCTCGTCTGCCGCTACTTTTAGCCGCGGAGCCAGTTACTCCAGTAGTCCGGAGCGTTGTTCCGGTAGCCGCTGTGCCAGTGTGACTCCTGTTGCCCGTGTGTCTGCAGCTTCAGCCGTCGCCTCCTATCTCCTCTCCTCTCACTCTCGCCTCCTCCTCACTTGCCCTCTGCGATAGCCTCTAGCTTTGCTCATAATTGTGAACTTTAAACTATTGCTTCTTGTACTTGTGCTCAGAATGTGTGGTGACATTGTGATCCACCCTGAGCTTGTTCTGCTTTGCTTGCTCTGCTGATTACACCCCACTTTGGCTATGGGGGTGTGTCAGAATGTCATTGTTCTCTAGCCTGCAGTGGGGTACTCTATAGCGAGTACAACCCCTTAGGGTTTCCTATATGTATCCTGCTGCTTTCTAGTGAACCCTCTTCTTCTTCATTCTAAACTTCTCTACCTTCTAATCTTTTCAGACACACATCTGTGGCGGTTTTCTGGAATGAGCATTGACGGGGCGTTGAATATGATTGGAGGGACAAACGGGCTAGTGGCTTGCATTCGACGACATGCGCCTCACCTTGTCTTCTCTCACTGCATCGCGCACAGTTTCAGAGTTTTCTTCAAACTTCCGTCCAATGTTCCATTTATGTATACTAACCATTCCACTTTTTTACCCCCCATGCACATGGAGGCCCTTTCTACAAGGGATGCGGCGATAGACACTCCTGAGTTGAGCGTCATCGACACAGTCATCCGCACACTGGCGGAGCAGCTTGGCCGATAGAGCAACTAGCACAACAAGTTATGGGACTCGCAGGAGGTGTTTACATAGACGAACTTGGAGCTTCAATTCATCTTTCACGTCCGCTGGCTGTCTCGTGGGGTAGCGGTTTCAAGACTTGTTGCGGTCCTGCCCGACGTTGTACTGCTTCTTATGGAGTACGACGGTAAGATGTACAAGCTTGTCACCTCCTACAAGTTTCATGTATATCTGTTATTTCTGGCTTGAGCTTCTCAACGATCTCAACCTCTACTTTCAACATCGTGAGGTTGGTTACATGATTTGTTAATATTGTTTGTACAAGCTTGTCACCTCCTACAAGTTTCATGTATATCTGTTATTTCTGGCTTGAGCTTCTCAACGATCTCAACCTCTACTTTCAACATCGTGAGGTTGGTTACATGATTTGTTAATATTGTTTGTCTGATTGTGTGACCGTTTATTTACTACAAAGCACCCCTTCCCTTGCAGATTGACCTGACCGTCTTGCATGGCATGGTCTGGCGGACCCTCGTGTACATCAAACAACGCTATATCGAGTGTGGTGAGGAGTTCGGCGGATGATTGTTGCCGCTGCTTTCTGCGTTCCTTGACAAGCACCAAGACGACCGTGATGTCAACATCGAAGGCGAGCAGTCGGACGGAGAGCCCGTGTCGCACGACTTCAAACTGCATGAAGACGTGCCAGGAGGTGAACACGAGCCATGTTTCTGTTATATTCTACAAGTGTAATGCATTTTGAGCAAGAGCAAAAACAGTTGCAAAAAGGCTAGTTTGATGTATCAGACAAGCGGAATGTTGAAGTCGGAAGGTCAGTCAAGTCTGAAAATCGTGACTACTCCATAGACCAAGTCTAATGGCTCAATGTGCTTAAAACGTATAAGTCACTGGTCTACACTCCAACCTTCATTTCGTTTTGGTAAATGACGTTTTCAACCGTCAGACTTTGCTGGACTGAAGATCAACGGCATTCTCGTTCCTAGACTATTCAAAATACACGGATGCTATATCTAGAAAGTAGGAGAGTGTAAAGAATTATAATTCTTTACTGTAGTCAGTTGTCAGTGAGGACAACCCCGAGGGCCACGCGTCAGATGGTCCGGCCTACAATTCCGCCCCAAAGCATTCCTGAGTCGCCCCCGCACCAATCATCACCCTTCCGAGCCATCTTCGTTTATATAGATTTCCCCCTATATTTTTCCATCACGTTCATTGTATCTTGATTCAATTAGTCACTGTTTGTTTCGACATTTGTTTGTTTCGACATTCGTTTACTTTGCGCGCTCTATAAGTCATTCATAACAAGCCCGTGTTTCTTATAAGCGCATGTTACAATTCGACACCTGTTTTCATCCTCACGAATTATCTGCCAGTCCACCCAGACACATTCCGTGCCTAGACTCTCTACCCAATTCCGTACATTGCGTCGAGGGCTGCGTGCGGCCATGTCGGAAACGGCGATGCTCGGCACATGAGCCACGTCCGCTGCTAGCGGCGTCGAGGTGCTATCGCTCCGCTGCCGCCATCCCTCCCTCCCCGCGCTCGTTGCGTGCGTCGCACTTGCCCTCGGTTCCCCGCGCCCCCCCTCTCACTCCGTTTCTCCGCGCATCTCACCTCCCGTCTTGCGGCATCCTCAGTCTGCTCTTCCGAGACTCAAGCTTCGTTATCGCCCGCTCTCGCCTCTCCCACTCTCTCCCCCCTCTCACCTCCGCGCTTCCCCTTCTCACCTCCGCGCTCCCCCTCTCACCTCCGCGCTTCGCCGTGTGCGCTTCCCCCGTGTTCTTCCCCTTGTGCTCCGCTCAGTGTGTTTCACCGGTGTCTTCCCCCTGTCCACGCGTTCCCGACTTTGCAATGCGTTGTCCCTCTCTCAAAACCTTCTCTCTTTCCCCGTAGCCCATCCGCATTCTCCTTCCCCACCTCCAGCCCTCGTGCTCTCTACTGTCCCTCCCTCATCACTCTCGTCGTTCCTCCTCCCCTCCTTCCCACGCACACGCCGTCCTCTGGCAGAGCCAGGGCCGCCCCTGCCATACCAACCTGCATCGATGCAACAGCAGCACGCCCCCTCGCCTTCCTCTCCCCCCGCGTCACTCACTCCATCCACCACCACTCTCCTCACTCCATCCACCACCACTCTCCTCACTCCATCCACCACCACTCTCCTCACTCCATCCACCACCACTCTCCTCTCCCGTTTATTCGTTTCTCCCCTTCCATTCCATCTCACCCTCCTTACCCCTTGCGTCCCTCCCCTTTGTATTTCCATCTCCTTGATACTTACGCTCTCTCCTTCCTCTTTTCTCTCCTCCATATCCCTCCTCTGGCTCTCCCACAGCAGCCCGCCTGCCCCACCAGGGTCGGCCGGTGAGCACCAGCACAAGTCCCTCCGCTCCACCGCCCCGTTTCTAGAAGCGGCTGTCTTACTGAGAGCCCGCTAATCCAACAGCTACCAAGCAGTCGCTGTTTCCCCTCACCACCGCCATCTGATTTCACCTTCCACTCCACAAGCCCCTCAAGCACGCCTCTAAACCGCACTTGTCCGCGATGCGCTGGCTGCATGTCACCATGGGCGCGTCACTTGCCAGGCGCCCCTCTTCCTTTCTGTCGGCTCCCACGACACACCTCCTTCTGCCCTCGCCCACCGGCCGCTGATACCACCGTGCCTCTCCCTGCTGCCGCCTCTCCCTGCTCTACCCGTGCAGCGGCCAGCACGCACCCCGGCGCCCTCTGTGTGTGCTGCTGCCATGCCAGCCGCACGGCCTCGTCTGCACTCAGCGTACGCACCAAGGCTGTGGCCACCATGGGTGCTGCACCACGCCCACCTGCTGCTGCTCGCGTGCCTGGCCTATTGTCCCGCCTCGCACGCACAGCCATTCGACCGCAACCAGCTCAGAGGTGCGTCGCCTGCCGCCCTGCCACCCTGCCCTGCCGCCCTGCCCTGCCACCCTGCCCTGCCACCCTGCCCCTGCCCGTCGGTCTGTCATGTCTGCAATGTTGCGGTAGCCTTTATTATGCAAAACGAGTGGTGCAAGTGTGTCGCTCTATATATGCTTGTTTTCCGATGGTGGTTCCATCTCAGGCCTGTTAGGTTTAGGATCAACATGAGCAAGGGGTCACCTCTGAGCCATGCAGTCTGCAAATGATTTGCAGACCCAGGTGTGTCACCAACGCGTCCTTTGAAGCCATAAACAAGGTCAAGCGCATTGTGTTTTTTCGTATTACAGCAACAAACTCATTCGAAACAACACACCTAGATCCGCCCGCCTTCCAGTTGAAGTGTGCAGAGTGCATCTTTCACAAGTGACCCCTTGCTCATTTGAGTCCCTGTCGCACACCTTCACTGGAACCACATGCATGTGCTGGCGAATAGATGCAACAAGCATTTATTCCTCTCCATGCGTGCTTAGGAAACCACCATACCTGCACCTTTCACCATGCATATGCAAACGCCCTATCCCTCCCTTTAACGTCGTCACCACACCTCTTTTGTCCCCTGTCCCCATGCATCCACTCCCTCACCTCCAGACTGTGCTGACATCATGGCAGCGGGAGTGGCTCTCACGCCCTTCAACGCCACACACAACTCAGATACCACCTTCCCCAATGCCACCTCCTCGGATGCCACCAGCAGCAGCGGTGGCGGCAGCAACAGCGGCAACACAGCCGGGGAGTGGGGCCATCACATGCGGTACAGGAGGCAAGACGGGGAGTGCTGGAGCCGAGCTGAGATGGCGTGCTATGCCGAGCACGGGCGCACAGTGCATGCGCAGTCACAAGTGCAGGCTCAGGCCCAGTCACAGGGGCAAGCAGAGGCGGAGCGCGAGTCAGAGGCGCTGGTGCGCAAGATGCATGAGTACCAGCGGTACCGGCGGGAGTGCCTCCGCAGGGAGGCCCTGCAGCAGCTGCGCGCCACGCTGCTGGCGGGCAACGGCAGCGAGTGCCGGTACCTGGTGTGGCAGCACAACCCCGACGGCCAGGGCAACCGCCTGCTCTCCCTCGTCTCCGCCTTCGCCCTCGCGCTGCTCTCCCGCCGCATCCTCCTGCTCGCCCGCCCCAACGGCCCTGCAGCGCTTCTCTGTGAGCCGTTTTCTGAGGCGGGCGAGGGGCCGGAGGGGTCGTGGGTGCTGTTTCCCGGGGAGGGCGTGGAGGAGGAGATGCAGGCATGGAGCTTGTTTGCTGAGAAGGGGGTTGAGTGGAGCCAGGCATGGGAGGCGTGCCAGCAGCAGCAGCAGGGTCAGCAGCAGGAGCAGCAGGGGCAGCAGGAGGTGGAGCAGCAGCAGGGGAAGAGGGATGGAGATGGTGTGGGTGGAGACGCGAGGAGGCGGTTTCTGTCTGGACTAGAGCAGCCTGTGGCTCCTGGTGCACCTGCACCTGCTCCTGCTCCTGCCCCACCCGTTGTTCCCTTGGTTATACAGCCGTCCAATCCCCCATCCCTGCCATCCCCTCTCAGCAATGCCTCCGATCAACTTCCACCACCGCTGCCACCGCCACAGCTGCTATCAGTGGCTGCTGCTCCTGGGGATGACAGCAGTGCGGAGGCACACGATGCAGAGTGCACCGTTCCACCCATGTACGTGAAGCCGCTGTGCCTGCTGTACTACCCTCACTCGTGCCCATTGCACTGTCTGCACTGGACACGCTATTCCTGATTTCTTCTGCTACACCCTGTGCACTCATGTCTTGTGCAACCTATTGTGCATTCCCGCTTTCACTCTCCTCATTCTCTCCCCACACCCGCATCACTTGTCGCCCACCTCCCTTCCTCCTCCCCCTGCCCCCCTCCCTGTCAGACTGCGAGTGGATCTCTTCCACCACACGCCCCCACCAGCCTTGCTCTTCTTCTGTCACGCACACCAGCGCTGGCTGGCCCGAGCGCCCACGCTGCTGCTCTCGTCCAACCAGTACTTCCTCCCTGCGCTCTACCTCCTCCCCTCCTTCCGCCGCGCCCTGCTGCTGCTCTTCCCCACGCACCGCCCCTTCCACTCGCTCGCCCGCCTGCTGCTCGTCCCCTGCAACCGCATCTGGGCGCGCCTCACAGCGCGCTTCCACGCACTGCTTGGGCCGCTGCCCGCCAGGGTGGGCGTGCAGGGGCGCTTCTTGCACAACTGGGACGCGCAGCGCGTGAGGGAGAGGACGCTCGTCCTGGGGCACTGCGCTGGGCAGGCGCTGACCGGGCTGCTGGCCGGCCAGCCTGGGGCTGCTGCAGCGGGTGGGGTGAGCCGCGGGGCGGAAGGTGCTGCTGGTGGCGCCACTGATGCTTCCAGTGGTGCTGGTGCTGTGAGCGGTGCAGGCGCAGCAGGGGGGTTGGCAGCATCAGTGATGGTGGCATCGCTGAATGCTCACTTGGCTCACAACCTCTCCCGTTTGCTGTCCAACCATCTGGGGCACCCCGTGCATGTGCGAGGGACCGTGGAGCCTGCTGGCAGCAGCAGCAGCAGCCAAGACTCAACAGAGGCAGGCCCAGGGGCGACCGACAGCAGCAGCAGCCCAGAGGAAGTTACTCTCAGCAGCGAGAGCGGCAGTGGCAGCAGCAGCAGGGAGGGCAGGGCGGAGGTGGAGGTGGTGCAGCTGACGGAGGAGGAGCAGCAGGACAACAGCGACGAGCGCAACGTGGACGACGCCATCATCGACCTCTTCTCCCTCGCCCTCTTCTCCCACTCCCTCCTCCTCTCCCCCACCTCCACCTTCGGCTACCTCATTGCTGCCCTCGCCCCCCACACCCCGGCCCGCTTTGCCTCCTCCTCCTCCTGCCCGCCTGCCCCTCCAGAGCCGTGCTACCACCACCCCCCCACCCAGGACCAGTGCCCTGACGGCCAGCCGCTGCTGCTGGAGCGGGCCGTGGCTGCAGTGCCCCACCTGCCTCTCATGCGCTGTGCCGACCTCTCACTGGGGCTCGCTCTCAACACTGCCGCTGCTCCTGCTCATCATCCTGGCCAGTAGGCATGATGGGCTTTGGCTTTAGGCATTCTTGCCTAGGTGCGCACGTGCGGTTTGGGATCAAACTTACGGTATTGACGGATGACAACTGATTGTCGTGTTGTTACGGTGCCCCACCCCACTCCCAGGACCACTACTGAAACGGAATTTAATAAAATATACCGTAAGCAAACAGCACAGTTCCAGATTTTACACACACAACTCAACAAAGAATCCTCAAGCAGGCATGCTGAACAGGTGCAATGGTCGGGAAGGCAAGTGATGAGATGTTGTAGTCTCCATTGAGTGGAAAAGAGAGGAGTCTGTACAGAGCGGAGGGTAGAAGAGGTCTCCTTGAGTGGAGGCTGCATTCCCCCCTGTGCTGCTGCAGAAAAGGATAGTCCACCGCTCTCCTCTTCTACATGCATATAGTGGTATTGTTCTGCAGGAGGACTTGCCTCCGCACAAAATGTACGGGCCAGTCTTTCCTAGAAGATTCTTTTCGCTTCCAATCCAAATTTGCTACGACGAAGCCCCGCACAGACAAATGCATCCCCGCAATTTGGCGTGTCACAGGAATGAATGCATTGACAACAAACTGAGTACAAGTACTAACTCTAATTGGGTTGTACCCCATATAGGCTACCCCACTACAACCTACACAACATAAGCAGCATTATAGTTTGACACACCCCCATAGGCAAAGTGGGGGACAATAAGGGGTCACAAGACCAGTCAAGAAAAGCAAAGCAAGCTCAGGGTGGATCACGAAGTCACCACACACTCTGAGCACAAGCAAGTGGCCACAAGGCCAGTTCACATGCAGGGTTATAGATATGGGAACATGCAGTACAGTGATCACAACCTAGCAGGTGCAAGCATGCAGGTACAAGTATATAGATCACAATACAAGCAAAGTCAAGAAGTGAGCAAGTGAGGCAAAGCAGGCACAAGGCCCAACATAGTACAGAGGCGCTGATGATCAGCAGGCGGAAGTGCCTTGGTGAATATATCAGCAGTGTTGGCCCGAGTGGCCACGTAAGCAAGACGACGCTGACCACGCTGCTGCAACTCTCGAGCAAGGAAGTAACGCAGAGCGATGTGCTTCGTTCTGTGCTCCAGTCTGTGCTCCTGACACAAGGCAACTGCAGCCTTGTTGTCTATGTACAGAATCGGAGGAGAACGAGGCCGCTCTCCTAAGTCGGTCAGCAGGTAGGTGAGCCAGCGTAACTCCTGTGCAGCCATGGCTCCCGCGTAGATCTCAGCCTCACAACTGGAGCTGAGAACAGAAGACGAGCGGGTAGACCGCCAAGAAACAGAGCCAGAGCCAAGGCTGAACGTGTAACCCTGAGACGACCGCTGCGTAGCGAGGTCGTCAACCCAAGAAGCGTCTGAGTGTCCAGTGAGGACAACTGGACCCCGCCCTCCAAGCACGAGCCCCATGCCCGACGTACTACACAAGTAACGCAGTACCCTCTTCGCAGCATCCCACTGCATCTTTCGGTGTCTACCAGGAGCCACGTAGCGTGCCAGAAGGCCAAGAGGGTACGCAAGGTCAGGACGAGTGCATGTCATCAGGTACATGAGGCAGCCCACTAGCTCTGGATACGTGCCACTCGGCTCTACGTGTCAAATGATATATTTGCTATACATGTTTAGGCTTTAGTGGGGTAGCCAATATGGGGTACAGCCCCTTTTAGGGTTTCATATTTGTACCCAACTCTTTCATAGTTCATCCATTCCTGCTGCTAGATTCTAACATGGTTTCAGAGCACTAGGTCCGTAGGACCGTTTTTTTTTCGGGCCCACCTACTGTTGCGGTTACCGCGCTACCCCACGTGTTGTACTGCCTGCCTTGCCTTGTGACGTGCTGCGCTGCGCGCGCCGTCCTGCAGCCCTCACGCTGCCTACTGCTGCCAGAGGCCAGCGCGCCGCCCTTGCAGGCCCGTCAAGTCCACGAGCCGCCCCTGCAGGCCCGTCAAGCCCACGAGCCGCCCCTGCAGGTCCGTCAGGCCCGCGAGCTGTCCCTGCAGGCCCGTGAGGCCCGCGAGCCGCCCCTGCAGGTCCGTCAGGCCAGCGAGCTGCCCCTGCAGGCCCGTCAGGCCCGCGAGCCGCCCCTGCAGGCCCGTCAGGCCAGAGCGCCGCCCCACGCGTCGCGCCCGCTGCCCGCGCGTCGCGCTGCAGCCCCGCGCGTCGCGTCCGCTGCCCGCGCGTCGCGCTGCAGCCCTGCGCGTCGCGCCCGCTGCCCGCGCGTCGCGCTGCAGCCCCGCGCGTCGCGTTCGCTGCCCGCGCGTCGCGCTGCAGCCCCGCGCGCCGCGTTCGCTGCCCGCGCGTCGCGCTGCAGCCCCGCGCGCCGCGCCCGCAGCTCGCGCAGCGCACTGCAGCCTCGCGCGCCGCGGCTGCCCCTTTTCGTCGCGGCTGCCCCTGGACGCCGCCCCTGCCTGACTGCCATCGTCGCTCCTGCAGCAGCTGCCACGGAGCGCCCTGCCACAGTCGCGGCCCTGCCCTGCAGCAGCTGCCACGGAGCCTTCTGCCGCCGTCGCGGCCCTGCCCTGCAGCAGCTGTCGCGGAGCCTCCTGCCGCGGTCGCGGCCCTGCCCTGCAGCAGCTGCCGCGGAGTCTCCTGCCGCGGTCGCGGCCCCGCCCTGGAGCAGCTGCCGCGGTCGCGGCCCCGCCCTGGAGCAGCTGCCGCGGAGCCTTCTGCTGCCGTTACGGCCCTGCCCTGCAGCTGTCACGGGCCCGCCCTGCAGCAGCTGTCGCGGACCTGCCCTACCGCCGACTCGGCCCTGCTCTGCCGCAGCTGTCGCGGCCCCGCCGTCGCCGCCGTCGTGCGCCTGCCCTTCCCGCCACTGGTGAGCACCTGCCTTGTTCGCGCACTGCCGCGCTACCTGCCTGCCTGCCTGCGCTGCCACTGCTGCTACTGCTGCTCCTTCTGTTACTACTGCTAGGCTCTTACTGCTGCTGCTACTGCTACTACTGCTACTGCTGCTACTGGCGGTGGCCAGATGCAGCTCCAGCGACGTCCGCGTGAGTCTCTCACGCCCCAGCAGCTTCGTGAGTGGTACGCTAGTTGGGGTTGTGGCGGTCGCCGTCGTGGCTGTCGCCTTGGAGCTGGTCAGTCAGGAGCGTCTGGCAGTGGCCAGCTGCAGCTGCAGCGGCGTCCGCGCGAGATACTTACGCCCCAGCAGCTTTGTGAGTGGTACGCTCAGAGTAGAGGGTCTATGAGTTCTGTTCGCTGCCCGTACGTCATTCGCACAGGTGATCGGACTGGTCAGGCTTGCGGGACGCCTGGTCACACACGGCTTGCTCTTGCAACCGTGCGCGTGACTGCACGCACCCCCTAGCGCGGAGCTGTGCGTGTGGTTGGGTGGGCGGCCGTGCGTGTAGTTGCGCGGGCGGCTGCGCTTGCAGCTGTGCGTGCGGCTGCACGTGCGGTTGTGCGTGCGGCTGCCTTTGCGGCCGTGCGTGCGGCCTAGCGGGCGGCCGTGCGTGCGGTCGTGGGTGCGGCCGTGCGTGCGGTCGTGCGTGCGGCCGTGCGTGCGGTCGTGCGTGCGGCCGAGCGTGCAGCTGCGCGTGCGGCTGTGCAGGTGGCCGCGCGCGGCTGTGCTAGCTGCTGCGCGTGCTGTCGTACGTGCGGCTGCGTGTGCGGCCTATCGTGCGGCTGCGCGTGCGGCGGAGTAGGCGGCTGCGCGTGCGGCTGACGGGCGGCTCGCGCGGCTGTCCTATGGGCGCACTACGACGCTAGGAAGAGGGGCGCTCGACAGCGCGAGGAGGAGGGGCGCACGACGGCGCTAGGAGAGGAGGCGCTCGACGGCGCTAGGAAGCGAGGCGCTCGACGGCGCGGCGGAACGGTGGGCCCTACCAAACGTGGGTCCTAGGTCCTAACCTAGGCGTCGGATACCATGTTAGAAGATAGTACTGCACGAGAATGAATGAACTAGCAGGAAGTTGCGTACAAGTAGGAAACCCTAAGTTTGTTGTACCCCCTATGACTAAACCCACTATAGCCTACACAATATATAAACATATAATGTTTGACAAACATTTCCTGCTCACTTTGAACAATATTTCCCAAACCCATCCTTATCTGATCTTCTCATATTTCCTAGTGCCAGTTGGCACTCTACTTTTCTTGCCTTACAATTCATAGTCCCTCAAAGTACTTTCCGACATTCAATCTTGCATGCTATATCAACCTTGCTTGTATTCGCCAATATCATTCAATCTTAACTCAGTTACTTCTTCGCATATTTCGCAAACACTCCTTTCGCCAAAGTCTTGCGCCGCGTTTCATCCTCGACTTAGTCGACCCCGCTATTCCTTAGCGAATTTAGGCCAAGGGGCTTAACACAAGTGCTCCATGATTCCTTTCAATATCCCCACCGCATACATCTTACACGCCAGGCATATTCCCGTTTGAGCTCTTAACGAGTCGGAACGCATCCTCGTGATCTACGTCGAGCGTATCCACCACGGCGCCACCACTTGGAATAAAACCCTCGCGCGCAAAGAGCGCACCGCCAAGTTCCTGGCGGCTTTACACGCCACAGCTACGTGCCGCAAATCTCTTTCCTCGATCTTCTTGAACTTGGTCATCTCCTTTCCCGTACGGTTCCAACCTGCCCCTTTGGGCACTCTCAAACGCCTCGACGTGTTGGTCGGCAAGTTCCTTTCAGCCTCAAAGCACAAATAGTCCGGCCTTGCACAACGCCTCATCCCCAACCAATTCCTATACAATTCGGTCCAAGACGGGAGCCTGCGGGCGATTGCCCCCTCAACCCAAGTTAAATCTCTCTCTATTCAGCGAGCCCTGCGCAGATTCGGACAAAACCCCTCCGAAGAGGTCGCCCGTACTCTAACCCCGTTTCCCTTCGGTCTATATGGCATGCTATCCCACGCTGCCATTCTCGAACGCGACTACCTTCCCACCTCCCCGGGCGCTAGATGAACTACAAGCCCTCCTGTCCCTCCCCCTTGTCATCCACCCTACCCACCTTCGCACGCAATGCATCCTTACCGAACCAA